TTCACTCATGTTCAGATCTGAAGCAATGTCATTGTAAAAATCAGTGGGAAATCAGCTTGTGATAACACAAAAGGGATGTGAAATGCATGAAGATTAGTTTCAGAATATTTAGCTATAAATTAGGATTCAATTCCAAATTCCAGCTACAGCTATAAGGTTTTATCTTCCTAGCCCTGAAGCTAAACGTTATAGTATTTACATTTCTGAAAATATATATGATGAATACCAAAGTACAGATGTTCCTAGCTGCATATTAAAAACCAAGGCATCATGTTCTGATTACCTGTTGTTATCTTATTTTACATTAAAAGTAAAAGTAGAATGGAAAACGTAACCCCTGTTACATCTCCATATACAGTGGCATGGATTTCGCTTATAATTTATTCATAATACACAATTTCACCTAAATCTTCATACTAGAAAATTGTGCTATTTTTAATAGTAATGGAACCAAGGCAAAGCTCATCCTCTAAGTCCATATTCCCCTTCCTCCAAACTTCCATCCTCTTCTGTTATTTCAGCTCCTCTTCCACTCACTTACAACCAGAACATCCCTCCATCTCAGCACCTTTTCTGTACCCACATTCTCTATGACTTTCACAACACTGCCTGTATTTAAGAATCCCCTTGGAACTTGTAAAGCTTATCTTTTTGCCTTGCAATATATATTTTCAGACAAAAAATGCAGACAGGTTTCCAACTGCCAAAGGGTCATATTTAGTGGCCTACTGCTACTAATGTCTACCCCTACAGATACCATCCATATTGTAGCATTCACCGTAGTCAACACCATAACAAGTTAGCAACTATAACTAGACAGTTGAAAGAATCAGCTGATGTACATGGGTGGGTTAATGGGGTCAAAGGGGCAATTGCCTCCACAGCCACCTGAAAGTCTAGCCATACCAGCCAGGTGGCAATGGGCGGCAATCCACCCGGTGCCTGCATTAGGAATATACCATAAGCATTACCAGTAAATTTTGTGCCTAAATGCCAGCTGCCTCTGAGGTCAGGGGAAGCAGAGATAGCTCAGAGAAAAATGTGGACCGAGAGATGGTACTGGCAGATTGTTTGAGGACACATATGACACTTTAAAGACACATGTGGCTCATTGGCAAGATATACAAATTGTATGAATTTACCATCTCTTTGGCATGTATTACAGAATGTATGCATTTTTTGCTCATTGGCATGATATACCAAGGATTGTATTTACTGTTCATTTTCATGATATACCACGTTTATGCATTTAGTGTTCATTGGCATGATATACTATCAGTGGCAGAACTTCTGTATAGAGGGCCCTGCTGACAAGAATTTGTTTTGGCATCCTGGCACCCCGTAGAGCAAGCATAGCCAAAAGATAAATCCCCATATGTTGTTCAACTTCCACAGTGCTGTTCCAGCTGGGAATCTGTGCCCATCCTTGCAGAGCTGTATTTGTGAGCAGTGTTTGTGTTTTGACATACGTATTTGTGTGTTGTGTTGGATGGTATTTGAAAGCAGTAGTGTACTTTAGTGTTTAGTGTTTGTATTTGTATGTAGTGTTGACGTTTGAGTGCATAGAACACCCTGAGGATTGCCCCCCCCCCCTTCCCCTTCCTAATGATTATCCATACCTACCCACTGTGGTGATCCAGTAAATAATGAAATCAAAAAATGTAAAAATGTAAAAATTTAAAGAATTGTAAAAATGTTATGAGCACAAAAATGAGTGTTTCAAAATAGTAAAACATATAACGACGATGATATTATCAGTGAAAGTGCCGTTTGTGTGTGAAAATTGCAAAAACACAAATACGAACACTAATTTTGGCCAGGGTTTGTGACTAAGTGGCTACTGGACATACCCCATTTGAATATCCTGGGTTGTCTACTTTTGCAAATGGTATGCCATGATGGGTGTAATTCTCATTCCTGGGCTGTCGTATGGTCTCAGAGACAACATAACCAATCTGGCAAGTTTCAATGTGTACAAAAATGAAAAGGGGAAAGCCCTATAGTTGACCCTGTAACTTTTCAAAACACCATAAAACCTGGACATAGGGGGGGTACAGTCCCTAAACATATAAGTGTATTTTATTGCAGTAAAAGCTAACAGTATTATGACATTAACAGTTAAAATGCAACACTGAACTTAGAAAATAACATTAATAACTTTATTCATATTAAATTATGTTTCATATGTAAATATTTGATGAGAAATGAAAGCCCTGTTTTCCCTGAACAACATAATATATAATAAGTGTGAGTGTATTTAATATGAAAGAGGTGAATAATGGTTGAACAGACATATAGCGCAAATTACAGGTTTTGTTTTGATCAGAATTAGTACAATTGCCTCCGTTCTTAAGGGGCTAACCAGTTTTCACGTTTAAATGCTAAAGTGCATAAGACTTTAATTCTTTCTATTCAATTATCTTGTATGTCTATCAACAAATCTATTTTGTATGTGCACTTGTGTCTATCGCTGATGTTAATGGGGGGATTGGTAAAATTGTACTATGGGCCACTAAATAGTTTTTGCCCATCATGTCACAAGTTGTCAGCCCTACCCTACTGGTAACTGTGATCAGACAGAGTAGGATAGATGCAGGGGATGTCTGCTTTATTTGCACATGAAGGTTGATATACATAGCCAAAACAGATATATTTGGGTTTCTGAGCTGTGACCTTTTTGCCATTTTACCATATATATATATATATATATATATATATACATATGAAAATTAAGCAAAGAAAATATATATAATAGGTATAAAGCTTACCCTGGATAGAAACACCATAGAAAGTCAAATAGAACCGTCAAATAGTGCTGTGACATTGCAGTTTGACTAAATCACATTTCTTTGGTGCTAAATAGTTCCTTTTCGGGCCTGCACTTTATATCTGAGAGTCAAATAGAACCGTTAAATACTGCTGTGACATTGCAGTTTGACTAATTCATTTTTTTGGTGCTAAATAGTACATTTGGTGTGTGCACTTCATATCTGAGAGTCAAATAGAACCGTCAAATACTGCTGTGACATTGCAGTTTGACTAATTCACATTTCTTTGGTGCTAAATAGTACATTTGGTGTGTGCACTTCATCTCTGAGAGTCAAATAGAACCATCAAATACTGTGCTTACAGCGCAGTTTTAAAAATTCAAAATTATTAGGTGCTAAATAGTACATATAGGGCCTGCACTTCATTTCTGAGAGTCAAATAAAACAATCAAATAGTGCTGTGACATTGCAGTTTGACTAATTCACATTTTTTTGGTGCTAAATAGTACATTTGGTGTATGCACTTCATATCTGAGAGTCAAATAGAACCATCAAATAGTGCTGTGACATTGCAGTTTGACTAATTCACATTTCTTTGGTGCTAAATAGATCCTTTTCGGGCCTGCACTTCATATCTGAGAGTCAAATAGAACCGTTAAATATTGCTGTGACATTGTAGTTTGACTAATTCACATTCCTTTGGTGCTAAATAGGACATTTGGTGTGTGCACTTCATATCTGAAAGTCAATAGAACCGTCAAATAGTGCTGTGACATTGCAGTTTGACTAATTCACATTTTTTTGGTGCTAAAAAGTACATTAGTGGCGTGCACTTCATATCTGAGAGTCAAATAGAACCGTCAAATAGTGCAGTGATATTGCAGTTTTACAAATTCTAATTTTTTTGTTGCTAAATAGTACATTTGGGGTGTGCACTTCATATCTGGTGTATGTGTGCAACACTGGCTAGTTAGCGCTTCTCAAGAAAGTCTATAATAAATGTTGCCTATGGTGCAGGTAGTATAGAAGGCAAGACTGAGACAAATCATTCAGGTTACATTTGCCTGTTGACATGTTAATTATTTTAGACCATTAAAATTCAATAATCAATGAAAAAAACACACTAAGTGTCATACAAAAATATGTATTATAAACAAGTTAAAAACAAGACTACAAGTCATGTTATAACAAAATTAAACAAGTTTTAAAATATGTATGGGCCGACCAGTGGCTGTAAAAACAAAGTTTTACTGGTTACATTCATGACTACACACTCTAGTGAACAGGACCTTCATGTAGTGTGTTCTTTTTTTTTTTTAAATCATACAGCATCCTTTCATGTGCAGACTGGCAAGGAGGGCAGGGTTGAGGAGTGGGTGGAAATGATGTGGAGGATGATGAGGTCCCAGACCCCACATGGAATGAAGGTCATGCGAGTGACGTGTGCAGTTTGGAGGAAGAGGCGGTGGTCGCACAGAGGCACCAGCACAGCATAAGAGGGAGCAGGGTGCAAAAGCGGAGCTCGTCGGCATGTATTAGCTCTAAAATAACCACAGTTATCCAAGTAACAGAGGCAGCGATCAAAGGAACCATAACTGATTTAATGAGAAATTCGCAGTTTCAAAGTCAGGGCAGCAGTCCGGTGACCGGGACCCAGACATTGTCTGGGCGGCGGTCGGACGACCGGGACCCAGTATGCCTGATGTTGAATTTAGGAGTCACAGTGTGGAATGGATTAGCAGGGTCTGGTGCAGGGTAACCGCACGCCCCCTGGTGTTGAGCCACCATTTGTGTGGCCACATACCAGGACCCTGATGCAGCTTCAGTAAAAAGAGTATTTGATACTAGAAGCCATCAATGCTTTCGGCATTCTCACCCTGCTGCTGCTCGCCTGTCTGCACTGCAGCATAACTTCAGCCTTCCCGCTCACCGCCTTATATGCGACTTGCCCACAAGGTGGAACTCCACCTTGCACATGCTGGAGAGACTGTGCGAGCAGCAGCAGGCAATAGTGGAGTTTCAACTGCAGCACGCACAGGTCAGTCGCTCTGCACCAGACTTGCCCTCCAATTGATCCTAGTTAAAGGATTTAAAGTGGACTCATTACAATTACAGGGCCTGGAAAGAGTCCTGTATTATTATTTGTCATCACTACCTCCCCGCGTCGGGAGTGGGTAATTTGCGCACCTGCTGCCTTTCTTGGATGTGGTAGCCGTTTCTCAGGCTCCCTCTCCGTAATCGAACCCTGATTCCATGTTACCCGTGGTCACCATGGTAGGCGCAGAAAGTACCATAGAAAATTTATAGGGCAGACATCCGAATGCGTCGTCGCCGTCAAGGGGATGTGCAATTGACCCGAGGTTCTCTAGAGTCACCAAAGTGCCTGTGCAACGACTGCCGAGTTGCCCACATTCTAACTTGTGCTGATTACTGGGTGGCCACCCTGCTGGATCCCCGTTACAAGGACAACATGCCGTCCTTAATTCCCTCACTGGATCATGATCGGAAGATGCGCGACTACAAGCGGACACTGTTAGACGCGCTGCTGAGGGCATTCCCAACTGACACCGGGGGCTCAGTGGAAGCACAAGGCGAAGGCAGAGGAGGAGGAAGAGGTCACCAACGCAGCTGGGGCACTGCCAGCACCTCAGAAGGCAGGGTTCGCATGGCCGAAATGTGGAAAAGCTTTGTCAGCACGCCACAACAGCCAGCACCACCAGCTGATATGACACGTCTTAGCAGGAGGCAGCATTTCAGCAACATGGTGGAACAGTACGTGTGCACACGCCTAAACGTACTGACTGATGGGTCTGCCCCATTCAACTTCTGTTTCTCCAAATTGGGCACATGGCCTGAGCTTGCCCTTTATGCCTTGGAGGTGCTGGCCTGCACTGCAGCCAGTGTATTGTCTGAACGTGTGTTAAGCACGACAGGGGGCGTTATCACAGACAAGTGCAGCCGCCTGTCCACAGCCAACGTGGACAAGCTCATGTTTATTAAAATGAACCAGGCATGGATCCCAACAGACTTGTCTGTACCTTGTGCAGAATAGACATTTATACCAGCCTCACCCAGCCATACTCAAGTTATACTCAAGTGCACTTATTCTTTGTTTTCTTTTTTTATATGTCCCAATATTTTGGGGGCTACCCCAATAAAAAATAAAAATAAAAAAATTAAAAATGGTGTTGGCTACCTCCTCCTCCTCCACCGCCGCTTCCACCTACACCACCACGGTGTGTACCCAGATATATCAGAGCTGCTGCAGAGTGTGCAGGCCGTCTGTGCGCGCTTCCGGCGTTCTCACCCTGCTGCTGCTCATCTGTCTGTGCTGCAGCGTAACTTCCTGCTCACCGTCTCATGAGACTGTGCAAGCAGCAGCAGTGGAGTTTCAGCTGCAGCACGCACGGGTCAGTCTGCACAAGGTACAGACAAGTCTGGTGGGATCCATGCCTGGTTCATTTTAATAAACATGAGCTTGTCCACGTTGGCTGTGGACAGGCGGCTGCGCTTGTCTGTGATAACCTTTTCTCCATGCATCAGAAGTTGAGCTCAGTTTGAACAATGAAAGAGAATACCCTGCACTCCAACACTCTCTCAAATGGATAATTCTGATGATCCTCCTGACAGCCATGATTTAGATTTTGATTTATGTTCTTCCAAAGCTAAAATCAAATATTCCATCTAGTGCTATTTTATGGCTCAGCTGTATTTTTTTATTTTTATGTTATTTTAAGTTATTTCCCTATCCACATTTGTTTGCAGGGCACTTGTCCTACTCTTACCCCCATTTTACTTCCTTTTGCAGCCCTCTAGCCCTTTCCAGGACTTTTTTAGAGGCATTTTCCCAAACCCGGACTTTTTTTCAAAGTTCGGCCGAACCCGCCAGACCCGCCAGACCCGAACATCCAGGTGTCCGCTTAACTCTAATGCTGACCTCTCTAAATGGCCAAAGATGAGAATCCACCAGACTTTAAGGCGGTATAATAATCATATAGATGAAACAGTCATTCACTTATATCAGACATCAAACATTACAGTGCTTGGCACAATCAAACATGGCTGGCTTACATTTGGTTATAAGAAGAGCTACATTTAAATGAACATATATAACGACCAGGTGAGTTCTTAGGTCTGCTCTCCCTTTATTTTGGGGTCCCTAGCTAGTCCCAGGACACAGTGTGTACATGAAGCCATTCATCTCTGGAGTAACTTGTAACTATCCTCCCCCACATCCCTGGCGGTATCACTCCACTATAGATGGATGGGTGTGCAGAGCACCCACCATCAACATGACTTCTTAGTACAGATCCAGGCACTAGGTCCCTTACATCACTCTGACAGAGCATTCAGGTTGTGTGAGGAAGCAATGATTCTGTCCACTTTAAGCTCTGCTGGCAGGAAGAATACTGCATGGAGAACAGTATGCCTGCTTCATCTGCACCACCAATAAGCAGCGCTGTATTGTGGGTGGCCTTATCGGCCATCTCGCAGTGTTAAATAGTTTTGCATGGTGTCAGTCAAATCGATTGGCGCCATGCTGAGCAAAAAGACCGAGGAGACGGACACCTTGGTCACATCTAGTTCACCTTGTGCACATGCCTATGGTAGCAAACATTGACTCAATGCAATCAGTGTCTTCATGCTGAGCGTAAAGACGGTGAATGTCATTCCTGCAGCCTTTTTTTTTTTTTAACCTCCCCAGGAAACCTCTCAAATGACTGTCTGAGTGACAAAAGTGGCATTAAGCAGCAACAAAAACACTGCCTTTTCTATTCAGGAAGAGTCAAGTTGGCCTTCCACCACTACATTCAGCCTCTAGTATACAGTTCTGCTTGCAAAAATGTGTTGTAATCACATTGCAACAGGACGATTAAACCCAAATGACTGATACTACTATGTCAAAATATATTTATATTTTTAATTCATTTTCCCATCTCGTAGGCAAATGTCACAATGTAGTCATGCATCAGTAGCAATATTTATATATCACTGAATTATAGTTCTAAGTTAATGTAATTTCTCCCAGGTGCAAGCTTAAAGTTTTCTGTAAACACAACCATTCTAGTATTTGTCTGTCAGGATTATTTTCCTTATGCAGCTGTGTCAAGTGGGAATTACAAGATAACTAATAGCATTGGTTAAATATTTTATCTTGAAATGTTTGCTTTTCCCTAGCTCTTCTGCAAATGTAATCTCAAAAGCATTACAACTAAAAAATATGTGAACCAGTGGACCATTCAGTTGGCCAACAGGAAGGATCACAAGATCATAACAAGTCCACTATAAAATGTAACAAGAGTATGAGCAATGCCTGTATTCTTTAGTACTAGAGGAAGATTAGATTCTTCTCTTCCTTTCTTGTACAGTGCTTTCAGTCACAGCACTGGGCGGGTGTTACATTCAGGAGCTTTTAATTAGGATGTCATGTGGAAGACAATTGTTATAAATAAATTTACTACTGGGCAATACAGATATGGCTTCCCTCATGTCAGCCATTTTAGAGGATGTCTGTGTTTATCACCATGTCAGCCATTTTAGAGGGTGTCTGTGTTTATCCCTATATAGCTATATGTGAGTTCTTTGGTTTCACCGGTATTTGTTTTTAAGAACAAATGTACATGCATATATATCTATGAGTGTCTACGTATAACTATCATGTAAGGGAACCAAAATGCTCAAGTTGCCATCATTTGACCTCCCAGCTGCAAATTAATTAAAAGCAATAGTTCTAGACAGTTTTACACACGATAATTAATCACGGGTGCTTCCAGAGTTGATGCCGCAAAACATTTCAAATGCATTATATAAACAGAAAAAAGATCAAGACACACAGTATGGAAGGTGAGAAATTTGAATACCGCAAATCTCTTTATTAAAGTATTTACAGCAATTTTAAATTCCACCATAACTTATCTGATATGTTTCATCCTTTTTAAAAAAAACAGGATTTCCTCATAGACGTGCGGTAACTAAATTTCTCACCTTACCACACTGCGTTCCTTGATTTTTCTCAATGTGCAATGTATGTGTATGTATCTGTAAAAGTGTGCCTCAATCTGGGTTTGTATTTGTAGGGAAACCCTCTGTTTCTGATGATGCCGCATTACTTTCAACCCATTTTTACCCATTCGAAGCTTGAGTACATTTCCCAGAGCATTTACCAAAAACAACACACCAGCATAATTTTTGCATTTTAGGCTGATCGGGTACTCACTTCAATCTGTGGAACCATTCACTAATTTTGATGCACCTATATCAATTTCTTGCCAGCAGGTTCTACCTGGGCACAGCATAATTTTCACCAGATCGCCAGATAATTGAATACAAAGTGAATTTCAAATTTAAGGCTAGATCAGCTGAATGAAAAGCATATCTGACTTATAGAATTTTTCAATTTCAGCTATTTTGACCTTACATTTGAAATTTACTATGAATTCACTTCAAATTTTCACTTTAGTAAAACACTCTGTGAGTGTTATCAGCAAGCTGCTAATTGCTAAAAACATGTCCTCACCGTTAGTGACCAACAGCTGCGTCTTGCAAATAAGTGACTGGTATTTTCCAGCTGACAAGATTTTAGCCCCTTAACGCCGTTACGGCGTTCTATGTTGCCGCGGCCGCAATAGCTTAAGCCCCTAGGAGGTCCGCAGTACTTATCTCTGCCACGATCCTCTTCGGGAGGACTGCCTGAAAGCCCAAGCAGCCCTCCCCCGGCAAATCAGGTCCCCCTATAGCTGGCTGTGGATCTGCAAGCAGGTCCCCCTGCTGGTGGGTAGTGTAAAAAAAAAAAAAAATCTTAAACATGTTTAAAATAAATTAAATGTGTGTATATATATATATATATATATATATATATATATACATCTTAAATATATGTAACATCATACGTAATGTATTTTAATATTAATATAAGTACATGTATTAGTATTAAAATACACTTAGAATGAAGTTACATATATATAAGATGTATAAATAGATATAATATATATAATACATATAATTTAAGAAAAAAAAGGGAGGTCTAAATATCTGCTAATATGAATAGGTAATAAGGAAATATTTGAATTGCACATAAACTAATGAGGAGAATATAGACACGTTAAATTATCTTAAATAAAGAAGTAAATGTACATGAAATAAAATTAAGAAAGTCTAGAAAAAGTTTATTAAAGTAAGAAAGAAGAATCAATGCGTACAAGAAAGTGTTTTCTCTATAAATGTTTAAAGAAATCTGCTTTCCATTGCCCTACTGTACAGCTCTTGATAGAAGAGCTGACGGAAAAAGTGTCTAGCAAGGGGAAGGGGGTAAGACACACTATTTGGGACAATGACGCTCGAAAGGGTTTTTCGATAGTCTTTCTTTTTTTTTTTTTTTTAAACCCTTTGAGGTTTTTTTATGTTATATTTGTCTTCTATGTTGAGTGGATTGTGCGTGGCCAACCTGAGGAATTAAGTATCATAGGGAGGATAAATGTTAGAGGGGAATAAGAT